CTTTCAAAGAACCCAGCAGAAGGGAGAAGTATCGTTCATCAGAATCGCTTACATTGCTGCTGTTACCAGAAACGGGCACTTTTTTCACATCATGGCTAAATGAGATACGATCTTCGTCTCTGGGGAATTCTCAAGCACGCTGTGTGCTGTTCGCAACGTTACCTATGATCAACCAGCGAGTCTTTCAAGCATAGCGGCACTCTTCGTTAGCTCTCTTAGATATTCCTGTACAAACAAGTAACGTTCGGCTACTATAAGCTCTTCTGCATTCTTAATTGGCCTCAAATATTTTCACACACTGTAGCTTACTAAAAGCCATCCCAGGAAACAGAAAAGGAAAGTCATATAAACAACGTTTTCTGAGAATGCGTTCAGTTATCTTGAAAAGAATATTTTACGAGAAAAAGAGAATTGTTCAATGCACCATTTGCTTGAACCTCTACAGACATGACACATGAATGGGCGATTCTCTTGAATGACAGACGTTCCTCCAAACAAATATAAGGAAGAGCAACTCACGTAATACTCAGATCCAGCTGAACTGTATCACACATTTGAGACGGACTAGGTGGCAAATCTCGATCCAAGAAATAGTTGTGATCCGCTAGATGCCGACTGAAAAATGCTTCGGAATTGGTGGTGGATAGATAGATGGTGGTTTCGCAGCAGTATAAAAGCGATGGTCACGCTCAGCTCACGCTTTGCGTCTGCGTTTTGAACGCACAGCATGTTCGATACCTATACTTTCTTAGTCGCTCCAAATGCTGCACATTCAAAGCGCTGACGCAAAGTATGAACGCATTATCAGCGTGGATAAGGATAATGCATCTCTAGATGCTCAGATTTAAAGATTATTCAAAGAGTAATGCACGGAGCGAACAGAGCGATAGAAACAGCGATCGCATTCGCCGCTGAAGGACTCTTACTCTAAACCTAATGAACTTCAACTCAATAAAAATACAAGTGGCAGAACTGACACTAACTGTCTCACCGAAAATACTATGGTTCGAAGTGGAAAATGAAAAGAAACTGACTTATCACACTGGCAAGTCAAGCTGGCACACCATTTTATATCGTCCACACTGCAAAGGCCTTGTTCAACCCACACCGCTGGACCGATTTCATTAAATGTTGTCAAATTGCTGAAAACAAACCAGTTGTACAAAAATTAATCAATCTGTTACTATTTCAGAGAAAACACTCACAGAAATAAGAAGTAAGAAAAACTAGTCGCTTACCTGTAAATGGTGTGAATCAATGTTTTAGGAAGTTTTCCGATCTTAATTCTTTCCTTGGTACCATGTGGTACAAGAATTATCTCCTGAAATAATACTTATTTTAGCATTACGGCAGGTCCTGGCGAAACCAAACAAATTACCCGAAGAAAAGCGAAGAACTCATTGTAATCCATATCACAGTCAGGTATTTCAATAGAAAAGGTTTTGGAGAGATACCCATCGATAGGCGGTAAACTGGAAAAGCAACATATAGCGATTGAATAGCTATGTTTTGAGATAATGGTACAAGTCTGCATACAATGGGAGGGAGGAGGTGAGCATTTCGTGAACCCTTGACGATATAAGGCGCAATTCGGTGAAGTGTAGAAGAGGAAAACTATGAACGGTACCAGTCCCGTGCCTCATTTCTA